CAGTACGTTTGGAGAGTAAGCATTTAACATATTTGTCTTTACGCCTCCTGTAGCAAAGTGCATTTCCCTCGCAATAAGTTTACGTAGACTAGGTGGGGGAGGGATGTAATGACAATATGTGTGAACTGTTACTTACATCTCTGACTGGAGGCCCTTCCACAGTCATCGTCACAAGTGATTCCCCTCGAAGCAACACAAGGCCAAGGGCCCGTTTTTCTTCTCTTTCACCTTGCTTGGAGTTTTTCGACCTACACCAATCAGGTCAGCAAAAAAAAAAAAAAAAAACCTTAAGCAGTACTTCAGAAAATATTGCAAAAGCATTCAAGGAAATACTTTTGGATAAAATAAGCAGCCAAATCTCATAAGGAGATACTAGGCTGGATAGTGAAAGCTTGATCAAAGATACAGCTTAAGGAGCATCTGGTGGAGGTAGAAAGGAAATATCAGAGCCTAGAGCTCAGGCAGATGAGGCCACATCCAATGATTGTTCAATAACAAAAATCAGTGATGCACAAGTAAGCTAAAATGGGAGGAGCAGATAGCCTAAGGTGGTAACTCCAAAGGGGGTTGATGAGGTAGACAGGCAAGACAGTGGAAGGATTTGCAAACAGAAAGAAAGACAGACAGACAGAAAGACAGAACCCTTTTCAGGCAGGAATGAATGTAACCCAATGGGAACCTGGTGTGACTTGGGATAAGAGATCAAAGCCGAATCAGATCATTTATGCACAGCAGAAAGGTACACCAGCAAACATACATACATACTTTAACCTTCTGAATTCATCACAGTCACAGAGAATGAGGTTCATGTGTCGGTCAAAAGCTTTGAGAAAGCCAATGAAAACACGGCCATCTTGGAGCACACATCGCATCCTGTAATCCACATACTGTACCATTTTAGCACTCCTTCCAATCGGCTGCAAAGAGAAAAATTATTTGCTGATCAAATTCATGCTGAACTACTGTCAGGATGGCCTTTCTCAGTCTTAAACCATAACTGGTAAGATGCACACGCTATGCTTTTACTCAACAGGAAACTATTTTAGGATTATGAAATTATCAGTTATATGAAACTGAAACAAGAAAAATACACATCACAGTAGAGGGAAAGAGCAGGGAGTGATATTAATGACAGAAAATGCTACAAATTCTCAGCAGGTATGTGCGGTGTGCAACAGTTAATGGTCTGAATTTTTTCAAAACCTGGTGAATTGTTATTTTCAGAGAGTTTCATAGAGGGTTTCTCTCTGTGAGCTCTAGCAAGTTATGTCACATAATTCTCCCCTGTTCACCTTAAGTGCACCATGCTCTTACAGCACTTTCACATGCTCACTACTGCCAGGACCCTCCCGGCATCATATTTAAAGTCCAGCTGTGAGCCCCGTCAAAAGTTACCAGCCAGGAGCTGCCCTTCCCAGTTGAATAAGTGGGAAGGAAATGAAAAAGGTAAGATTCAGAGGGCACACAGAAGCCTGCGTGAAATAAATTGGGTATAACTTGTTGTGCCTGGTGCTGCACTCCTCTGTCATTGAGAAGGTGATAGTCCTCCTTTTCAAGATTGGCTTCCTCCCCAAAAATATCTCTGCTGCTCTTCCAGCTCTTCACCGTCCAACACATCCCCTCTTCGCCTTCTCCAGTGGTGCAGAGCACAGCATGCAAAAGATACTGCGGCGCACTCTGTGTGGAACATACAGCAAGGACATTCCAGACTGATCAAAGCACGGACCCTCATTTTCAGTTGGCAGACCATCTGTTCCATGATGATCCTGGTGGAAGAATGGATTGCATCGCATCTACTCTTGGCCTCAGTTAGGAGTTGCAGAACTGAATCATTAGTCATGCCTGCAGAGGGTAGCCCTTGTCTCTCAGCAGCCATCCCTGTACAGCATGCAGCCACTGAAAGGAAGCAGGATAGACAAACAGGAGGCTGGAAGAACACAGCAGGCCAGGCAGCATCTGGAGAAAAGCAACAGTCAACGTTTTGGGTATTACCCTTCTTCAGGTCTGGATGTGGGGGTAGAGGAGCTGCAAAGAGGCCAGGGAGGGGTCGAGGTGGAATGGTGATGATAGGTGGACACTGGTGGTAGATACAACCTGGTTGGTCAACGGGAGGGATGAATCCAGTTGGTGGCTGGAAGAGAGGGTCAGAAGGTGGAATGGAAGCGGAGGTGGGGGGGGGGTCAGGTGGGAAGGTTATTTGAAATTGGAGAACTCAACGTTGAGTCCTCCGGGCTATAGTGTGCCCAGGTGGAAGATGAGCTGCTGTTCTTCAAATTTGCGTTCCGAGTCGCTGCGACATTGGAGGAGGCGGAGCATGGATATGTCAAACAGAGTTGAATTGGACGGTGACCAGGAGGTTAGGTTGGCCATTACAGGCCAGGTAGAGAAGCTCGGCGAAACTGTCACCCAGTCTACATTTGGTCTCACCGACATAGAAGACCACACCGGGAGCACCGGAAGCAATAGACTAGGTTGGAGGAGATGCAGGTGAAGCTCTGTCTCACTTGGAAGAGCTAGTTAGGGCTCTAAATGGAGGTGAAGGAGGTGGTGTTCGGGCAGGCGTTGCATCTTTTACAATTACAGGGAACGGTACCTGAAAGTTAGCACAGAAATGGGCATTGTGGTAAACTCTAAGGTACCAATCCAGGGAGGTTGGCATTGGGCAAACATCAGCCTCACTCCATCATCATGGTAAATCTCAGAATCCTCAGTTCGGCTTTCTGCCTTTCCAAGTTGGTCAGGGGGTCAGCCAGGTCAATCCTGGTTGTGTGCTCATTGAAAGTCAAGGAGGATTATCAGGCTGATGGGCACCGTGGAAATTTCCAAGGTACCTGGCGCAGAACTCGAAGATATGATACTGATGACCAAAGATGATGTAAACATTGATGGAATGGAACTCTTCTGTTGGTAAAGTCAACTATGTTATGTTACGTTATGGCGCTTTCAACCTGTGTATAGTGTGCGCACCTGGGGGAAGCCAGCTTTGTTGGCAAAGCCTACTATTCCAGGCTACAGCATTGACTTCGACATGAGAAATGGGATGAAGTGGTGCAAAATTGTATAAACAGCATTAGTAATAGCCTTGACACATTTGTGGGTTGAGGATTGAGAGATCCCACAAAGGTCCCCAGTGGATGTTCGGAAGCAACCAGTTACATAGAGATTTAGCACGGTTATCAGCTTGACAGCCAATGAGATAGGATGGCCACCTACCCCTTTAGTTTGCAAGCACCTTTACATTTTAGTGCTCCTTGACTGTGCTCCAGCAAATGACACAGTTCTTTAAAGATGTCCCAGGGCACCTTCATTCTGTGGGAATGTTGGGAAAAGTTGGCAAAGATGGAGGACTGGAGAAGCCACCAAAGAGCTGCAGCTACCCGGCATCCGCTCAAACGTTCATGTTGGGATTTGTCGCTAACTAACTTTTCTCCACTGCCTGAGAAAACAGTGACTTGTGTATTAACAAGACAAGACTAGGCAATAATGATGTTATTGCCTGCAATTAAGACCCTCATCTCTCACAAACTAGCTTCTCATCTAGCCAAAGCTTTGGGTGGAAAATCAGACTTTTCAGTCCCTTGATGTCAAGAGTTTAATTTTTCCAATCTTGACATTTAAGGGTTGTGACCTTTCATAGCAGGGGAGTGGCATTAATTGGTTGGCTTTTCAAATAGGTCCAGTGTCTGAATAATCCACCATACTTGTACAAATTGAAGTTAGAACAAAAAAATTCCTACTGTGGAAAAGGCTATTCGGTCCATTGACTTCACACCGACCTTCTTAAGAGCATCTCACCTAGACTCACAGCCCTATCCTACCCTTGTATTTGCCATGGTCAATCCACCTAACCCGCACATCTTTGTACTGTGGGAGGAAACCAGAGCACCTAAAGGAAACCCACAGACACATGGGGAAAATGTGCAAAATCCACACAGACGGTTGCCAAAGGCTGAAATTGAAACCAAGTCCCTGGCACTTTGAGGCGTCAGTACTAACCACTGAGCTGCCCAAATTTAGTGGCTGACCAGCAATACTTGTGAAACCACATTGTTAGATGCAATTAGAGGTGGAGCCAAAACAAAACTGGAAGCCTTTCAGCTGTTTATACCAGCTGAAATATTTTGGTTGGTACAGCACTACATTAAAAGTCTTGAAGGCCCTTGTGATGCAGAGGTAGCGTCCCCACGTCTGAGCCAGGAGATTCAGGTTCAGGTCCCACCTGCTCCAGGGATATGTCAATGTCCCTAAACAGGTTGATTAGGATAGACTAAAGGATCCTGGTTCAATCCCAGGTTTTGGCAGCACCTTTACTGTGCTCTTGTAACACAGTGGTAGTGACCTTACCTCTGAGCCAGAACATTTAGATTCAAGTCCTACCTCCTCGAGTATTGTGTAATAATATCTCTGAACAGGTTGTCTAAACTCTGTCTCCAGCTATCTGCAAATAAAGTCAATGGGACTTCCTCAGAAGTTTAGGCTGGACCACTTTAAAACGAAAAGGTGTAACGTGGATCTTAGTATCGAACTCTGCTCCGTATAGTTCTGACTTCTGCATCATTTTTTAAATTGGTTTCGCAAGCAATTGTGCGAGGATTTGGAGTTACATTTGATTAAACTGGCAATCCGAAACTGTGCGTGGAGGCACCTCTAACATTGAAATCAAAGTGCAGTCAGATACGCAGTCTATTGGAAAACAAACAGACAAGTCAATTTATACACTTAAGTGCCTCAGTAGGCCGGATCCCTCGTTGCCAAAGTTTTAAACCACAGAAATCAACGGGTCAATCCACATCGGGAAAGGAGGCAACTGAATTCTCAAATTCTTGCAACGTACAGTACTTAAGTGGATACTGTTTGACCTGTCGTACCTTTTCCCAACTCTAGTTCTAGATCCTGCAGTTCTTTTTAGTGTTTGCTAGATTACTTAGAGTCAAACTTTGCTCATTAGAAAGCATAGATCCAATAAGTGAAGTTATTGGTGAACAAATTTCCAATGCAGTGCAGCTTCCGGGCCCTATATAATCCAATCCTGCACACTTATGTCCCATTCCATGTGACTTGTCCCTGTTTAGTAATCTTTCTCCAATTTCCCCACTTACAATCGACTCGGCGCTTCCTGGACTTCGACACTTTCAAATTTCCCATTGCAGTTAGATCAAAAGTTAACACGCTCATTGTTCGAATGTAATAGATTCTGTTCTGAGCAAAACACAGAAACTCTTCTCTCACCATTCTGATCCAGCTACTGCCTTTCCAGTTCCTCTTGGTTGGCGAGAAACACATTAAAATTGAGCCAATCGGGGGAGACTTTGAATTTGTCAAGTACCAATCATGAGATTAAATCCAAGCGTGTTCCAAGTATAATTTAGCAAAATCCTGCAATACTTGTGTAGTCGGTGTTAGGAACAAACACCATTTTCAGCTGGTTATGCTTATCGTTCTTAATGATAAATATCCCCTCACGTTCCTCATATGTCAATGGGTCTTTATTTTTGCAACTATGTCACGTAAAATCTCCGGCTCTTCTGGCAGGACTGATGAGAACTCATGTGAGGTATTTTCCCAGACGTAGTACCCTGTGCTATTTGTCACTTCTACTAGAATGTGGTCCTAGGTGAGGGTTGTCTGATGTAGTTCACTGTCACCAATCCTCTTTTGTCTTTGCTCTGTCTTACCCTAATCTAGTAATAAGTGGTAGAGGATGTACTATGTGAAGTATCTTCAAAAGAAGTACTGTTCTTAGATGACAAGGAAGCTTATTATAGCAATAAGTACAAGTACAGGCATAATTATGGGCACCTTAGGGGACTAGTACATTTCTGTCTGAAAGCTAAAGTTGACCACTGTCTCCACCCTGTGTATGTGACATCAGTAGAATGAATGAAACTGATGTAACTTGAACATTAATTTCTTCAGACCCATTAGCTTATTCAACACCAATGTCCCAAATGAGTAGTGAATCACAATCCTTTCTATAATTGGAAGCCTAAAGTTAAGTAAAAGTCTATTGAATACAGATTTGTCATGTTAAATTTATATCCTGTAACCCTTTTAAAAGCAGCCAGAATCCTATTCACAATGACCATGTTCTTTTAAAATGTATTTTACAATGTGACTGCCTCTGGTACTTGTCAAGTTCGAAGTTCCCAAAGCCCAGTCCAATGTAGTTTGTATCATGGGTAGTGGAGAGAGCTGGAGTAGCTTCAAGCACTTGCATCTGTATCACAGTGGTGAGTGGAGGATTTTTAAAATCAGTGTTCTCAGCAATAGTTCTGTTGGGACATCTTATCTCCCCCTCTGCGATGCAACCAGCTAGTTATGCATTCTGATACTTGTTACCCAACCCAGCTTCAGCTGGTTTTACTCTATTACATCAGACATCTTTATTGAAGGTTTTTTGGAAGTCTATAAAGATGACATCTGATGCATTACTCTTGCATAGTATTTTTGTTATTCCATCAAAGAATTCATGGGGTTGGTCAAGTAATAATCTTCCTCTCAAAATACATGCTGAGCATTCATTATTATATATTTTGTTTCTAGATGTTTGTTCTACTTTCTCCTTCAGTGAGGATTCCATTATTTTTCCTACCACCAATGTCATACTGATGGATCTATTATTTTAAAAGTGTACTCTATCATCCTTCTTACTTATGAATGATCTATCTGCCAGCTCTCTGATCTTGCACGTCTTCCAAAGCTTGAGTCAAAAATAGTCCTTTTCAACTGGTAATTACCTCAACTGCTAAGAAAAGCAAGAGAGAGAAAGAAACCAATACATCATTGACTTGGTCTAACACCCATTGTAATAAAGTTATTGAAATATATTAAGGACCAAGTGCCTATACATTTTGAGATGATTAAAGTGGTTTGATTTTGACTCATGAGCTGAGGGTTAGTCAGTTTGGTTGACAGGACAACCAGTTTCCAATACAGATGTTGCCAATAGCATGGGTTCAATTCTGCACCAGCTGAGATTATCATTTAGGACTATCCTTCTCAACCTCTCTCCTTGCCTGAGGCATGATGACTCTTGGGTTAAACTCACCATGAACAGTCTCTCTCATGAGAGAACAGCCCTATCATCCAGTAGGACTATGGCATCTTTTACCGTTGTAAGGCATGTTCTGCCTCACAATGTGCTGTCAATCAAGAACAGAAGAATTATTTACAAGTTCTCAGCTAACTATGCAGGTTGGAACTGGAAACAAATTACAGAGACAGAGACACAGGTACAGAGAGAATATCGAAGGGCATGCTGTTCTCCCAGCAGAAGCTGCCTGTTCTCTGCAGTTAATAAAACCCTCAGTTTAAACTTTTGGAACACCAGTCACCTTTCCTGTAGCAGTTGCTGTGAGCTGTGACCTTAGAGTTGATAAATCTGAGGCATTTTCCGAGTGAATCAGTCACCCTGTACTTCCAGTCGGAGTAGGAACCAATGAAAGTTTCCACAGAGAGGCAACTGAACAGCAAGTGCCTGGCTAGCCTATGATTAGTCACCTTGACATCGGAATTAGGAAGCAAAGCCATTGAACTGACTTCCCAGTTTTTTTCTACATCCATAATCTATCTTTCTTATTTGTTTATTTGGGTGCATGTAAAGGGGGAGTTTATAAAGTTATTAGAAATTTTTTTGTTGTGTTATATGCCAATGGTTTATATTTATGAACTTGCTATAGTTTAATTACTTATAATAAATCTTGTTTAATACAGAAACCTGTCCTGTGCCGTCTATCAATTTTGATCTGAGACTCATAAATTGGGATACAGTGTGTACTATAAAAACTTTAACATTTGTTACAACTCCAGGAATAGCAGGCTTCAATTTACCATACACTAGTGGGTGGTAACACAATGATTGGCCTGGTTTGAAGATTGTTTAGGGAGTAGAAGAGTTGGGACAATAGATATATACTACTACAGAGTATACAACATGTATAGGTGTAATCCATTTGGACTCTTAATGCCTCTTCCATGATTCAAATAAGATATGGTTAATCTTATTGTGACCTCAACTCCACTTTTCTACCTTTCCCACAGCAATTTTTGGCTTTCTTATTGATGAATAATTTGTCTAACTCAGCCTTGAATATATTCAACAATCCACTGCTCTCTGGGGTAGAGAGTTCCAAGAAGAAAGTGATCAAGCTCTGAACTTGGGCCTCAACTATTCACTGTTAATGACATAGATAACATCAATAGAGAGCAATGCATTCAGGATTGCCAATGACACACAAATTAGTTGGGTAGATGGAAGCATAAAATTAAAAAGAGCCACTGATGAAGTAGGTGAGTGAAAAATGAGTGAAAAAAACTGTAACAGATTGATATCAATATATGCAGTCATCAAGTAATCCACTTGAAATGAAAATGTTGAGTAATTGTTATCTAAATGATGGAAAAAGAAAAACACTGTGGAGCTCCAAAGAGATTTATAGGTCCCTGTACATATCACTGGCATGTAGTAGTCAGGTGCGTAAAATATTAACTTCTTGGTTAACTTCCATCCCTAATTGCAAAGCTTTGCTGCAATTGTCCAAAGCCTGGTTAGTCCACTTTGGATGGTTAGACATAGTCCTCCTATGAGCAGTTCTGGCACTACACCTTAGAATATATTAAACGTGGAAGAAGTATAAGTCAGATTAACAAGAATGTTACCGGAGCATTAGGAGTTGGATTTTGAGCTGCAATTACATAGACCATGCTTTTTTTATTGCAAAGACCACAGATATTTATGAATGATTTGATTGAGAATCTTATGATTTTTGAAAGGTGATTAGAGAGAAATATTTACTGCTGTCAGCAGAACCTAGGACAAGTGAATATAACCTTAACAGAATAATACAATTTAGGAGAGAAATTAGGAATTACAACTTCACTTGAAGAATGTTGGAAGTGTAGAATACTCTCTCAAAAATACTGTTCACTTTATCAATTTTAATTTTAAATCTAAGATTGGCAAAAAAATGACAAAGGTAAGAAAGGTATGGAACTAAGGCTAGGTGTTTGGAATTCAGGTAAATTTAAGCCATAATCTCAATAGTTAGTGGAACAGGTTTAAGGGACCAAACATTTTAATCCTGTTTTTCTCTTGTGTTCTCTCCCTGAAGGCATGACTGATCCACAGCACTGCAGTCTCCAGAATGGGTAGATCAAGGAGATAGGCTGGATTCAGAACCTAACTGGATTGGGAATCAAACCTTATGCTGTTAGCGCCAATATATCCATTCTGAACATCCAGCCAAATGAATCTGAAGCTATAGCAATATAGCAATATGCTTGTTGTGGCACCTAGAGTTATGGATAATGATGGTACATAAGAAATAGACGCAGAAGTGGGCCTTTTGTCTCTCAAGCCTGCCCCACAACTCAATTAGATCTGCTAAAGGCCTCAACTGCACTTCTGTGCAAGTGTATCACAGCTGTCAACTCCACTATTTTAAAAAAAATCTATCTACTTACCCTTTAAATATTTGGCTTTCACATCTCTCTCTTGGGTAGAGAATTTCAGACATCCACTACCCTCTGGGACAAAAAATTCCTTTGCATTTGTTTTAATTTTAATAAATAAGTCATCTTTATTCTTTAATTATGTCCCCTAGTTCAAGATTTCCTCACTTGTTGAAACATCTTCTCAAAATCTACCCTATCATGTCCCACTCAGAATCTTGAATATTTCAGTAAGATCACCCTTCATTCTTCTAAGCTATAATGAATAAAGGCCTAACCTGACTACAGTTGTTCTTGATATGTCAATCCCTTTCATCCTGCGAATCAGCCTAGTGAATCTCTTTGAACTGCCTCCAATACCAATACATTCTTTCTTAAATACAGGGGCCAAACTCTGCACAGTACTCCAGGTGCAGCCTCAGAAACATACGATTGTTAATGAGACTTCCCTACTTTCAAATTCTAATCCCCTAGTAATAAAGACCAAAATTCAATTTGCCCTCTTAATTACTTTCTACACCAGCGTGCTAACTGTTTAGGTTAAGTGTGCTAGAACAACCAAATCCCCTGATTTTTGAAATGTCTCTCCACTTAAACAATACCCCGTCTTTTGATCCTTCCTACTATAGTGCATGTCCTCGCACTTTTTTACATTGAACTCCATCTGTCAACTTTTTGTCCACACACTGAACCTATTCACAACCCCTTGTGGATTCCTTATATCCTCATCACAAGTTGCCCTATCACTTACTTTTGTTTCGTCAGCAAAACTCTGCCCTCTCCACCGAGTCATTAATACGGATAGTAAATAATTAGGACTGAGCCATGTGGCAATCCACTAGTTATGTCTTTCCAACCTGAAAAAGAACCATTATTCCTAATTCTGTCTTCT